TTTTCAACATTTTGTTGAGATAGAGTGGGAGGAAGAGAGAGAGAGAGAAACATCGATGTGAAAGGGACACATCGAGTGGCTGCCACCCACACGACCAACCAGGGCCGGGGACAACCTGCAACCGAGGTACATGCCCTTAGTGGAAACCGAACCTGGGTCTCTCCAGACCACAGGCCGATGATCTAACTGCTGAGCCAAACCGGCCAGGGCTGTTATTCATACTTTAACATTTTCTTCTAAAGCAAAGAATTACTTTAGTATTGTTCCAAATGTATATAATTTTGCAAGATATTTATCTATAAAAGTTTAATCATTTATAGAGTTGATTGTATTAATTATATTTTGAAAATACACACTAACAGTCATGAGAGAGGGTACTTTTGTTATTGTAAAATAGACATAACATAAAATTTATTATATGTGTGGTTGGTGCGGCTCAGTGGTTGAGCACTGACCCATGTACCAAGAGGTTGCTGGTTCGATTCCTGGTCAGAGCAAATGCCTGGGTTTCTGGCAGGAGGCAGCTGATCAAAGCTTCTCTCTCATTGATGTTTCTGTCTTTCCCTCCCCCTTCCTCTTTCTCTAAAAATCAGTAAAAACATATTAACATTTTTTAATGTACCATATTAACCATTTTTAAGTGTATAATTCAGTAGTGTCAAGTACTTGCTCATTGTTGTGCAACCATCACCACCATCCTTCTCCAGAACTCTTGCAAACTGAAACTCTACACTCAATAAACAACTGCTCCCCTCTCTCTTCTACCCCAACCCTTGGAAATCACCCTTCTAGTTTCTGTCTCTATGAATTTGTCTACTCTAAGCACTTCATGTAAGTGGAGTCACACAATATTTGCCTTTTTGTGACTGGCTTCTTTTACTAGTGCAATATCCTCGAGGTTCATCCATGTTGTAGCCCACGGAAGGATTTTCTCCCTTTTTAAGGCTGAATACTATTCTATTGTATGCATATACACCTTTGTTTATACATTCATCCCTTCATTGACCTTTGGATTGCTTCCACCTTTTGACTGTTGTGAATGATACTGCTTATAAACATGGATTTACAAATATCTCCTCAAGACACTGCTTTCAATTTTTAGGGTATATACCTAGAAGTGGGGTTTCTGAATCATATGGGAATTGGATTTTTAATTTATCAGGGAGCCTGGGAGAGCTTTTATTGAAACTATTGTCTAGAAATTTTGGAATTTTCAGAGCTTTTTACTGCAGTAGATTTTTTGCAGTGTTATGTTGGAAATTTGGTTATAAACTGGAGGCAAAGTGTATGGATGGGTCCTATGCGTGGGCATGGTCCTTCCTCCAGGCTGGCCCTCCTTCAGTGTAGCACTCAGCACACTGACCACATAGCTCTGCCCCGGCCGGCAGTTTTAGAATGACAGGATGACCACATTAGCTGACCTTTAATTGATTTAGTTCTTGCTAATTAGGAACCACTCAGCTTTTTCATGCTTCCTCTCTAACCTGCCAGTAAAGGCATGAGCCCCACTACATAATGAAATGTAATTTCAATCCCTTCTGGCTCATCTATAGACTTGTTCTTTTCTCTTTGTATTTGCATCCACTTCTAATATCACTTAAATATCAGTTTTCTAAAAATGTTCGATGCTTACTATCATTTTCATTGTGTTTTCTGTGTACATGTTAGGTCTGTTAACATTGAGATAAAGTTGGCCACATTCATAAATGGTTTATGCTCTGATTACCTTAAAGGCTGTAATAAATGAACATCATCATTATCCAAACAAATTTATTAGATGTGCAATTGTGCGTGACGTTGCATTCAGGTCACATACCTATGAACTGTGTCCACGCTGTAACTCAAGAAGAAACTGCTGTTTGTTTTTTTATTGTTTTTATAAATCATTGAACTTGGTGTTCTTTTTCTCATGGAGTTTAAGGTTACAGGCATAGCATCAATGGACTTATTCACTTTTTAGCTTCAACTATGTTTATTTCTATTCATTCTGTATATTACTTAAGTAATTAATATAGCTGGAGAAAAAGTCACACAATGACAGAAATAAAATATCTGAAACTTTCATTTGTGTTCACCATCATTACTTCTGTGGACATGTAGTTGAAGAGATATAACTAACACCAATACATTTAGAATTATTGTGCTGTTCATTGTGCTGGTATTGCAATTAGGATTAATTCAGTTAAACTGGAAAAATATGTGAACAGAGATCATTGAGGTCGTTGATAAGATATCTAAGATTGTTGTGTGAATAGGTAATGCATTTCTAAGCAATTCGGCAACCATAGCCTTTACTATGTGAGAATACAGTGCATATTTCTATCATTACTCCTAACACCAGGTGCTAATATTTAAGACGTAAGTGATATGTAGTTCGTAAATAAGTACTAGTGGAGTCTATCCTAAAGTTGGTCATTGTTATGCATTCTACCCATAAAATATTTATCCTTGTGTATTATATAAAATATTTAAAATCATAATTTTTACTAAATAATCAGTAAATATACTTTAAATTAAAATTCAGAGTGCTTTATTGTATATCTGTTAAAAGAACAGACTGAGTTTTATTTACAGGGAAATATATCCCATTATCTTATTTTCTTGAATCACTGAAGAAATACAAACTTTTATTTCATTTTCAATAGTGTCTATTTCATTTTCTCTCTTGTTATACTGCAATTTGCAAAAGCAGTAATCTCCTCAGAATAGTCATTTAAAAGCTTTTAAAATTAATCTTCTTAATTTTTATGTGACGGTCATTTTGTTTCTATTCCTTGTCCTGCTAGAGGAGTTCCTTCATTGTGTGATCTCTCTTTCTTTACTCTTCTAACTCATCGCCCCTACACCCCCCAGTGTGATTCACGGGCAGGAGCACTTCATTCTGTGCTGCTCTAAGCAGGTGCAGGCAGAATGACCTGCTGCGACCTTGCGTTACTTCCCCACAGTTTTGTCACTAGTCCAGTGTTGCTTATTCTTTTATCAAGCCCTACACCTTGAGAGTTTTAGATGTTATTTTATATGTCCCCTTGACTGAAGGTAGCCTTTCCAGATGGTCTTTGGCCATCTGGAAATGGTCTCATATTTACGGAGAACTTTGATTTTGAAAAGAGTATATTAAAGACTAAGGGAAGAGGGCGTATACATAGCTGGTCAGATTGGCCTGGTCATCCCCATAACTAATTAAGTGACTACTGCCTTAGTTACTGCTAGCCCTCCCTCACCTTCTCTCTATTTAAACAGCTACAGTCTAAAAAAAAAAAAAAAATGTGCTTTAAAAATGAGATATTCTTTATATTAAATATTTTCCATTCACTCCCATAACTTCACACACAAAGAGAATACATTTTTAGGAGCAAGTCTGGATTTATGAATAAAACTTAATGAGTCTGATGGAGCAAACTTCACGCCTCTGATTCCCATTTGTCTTAGCTCTTGTTCCACTTCACTTTTCTCCATAAAATGTATTGCTTTCTAATATTTTATGATTTAATCATTTTCTTGTTGATCGTTCCCTTGCTGTCTCCACCAGGAGCATCTAAGCTCCAGGAGGGCAAGGCTCTGCCATTCTGCTGAGTGGTGCGTACCAAGCAGTGAGAATGGGGCCCAGCATACAATAGACACTGGCTGTTTGTTGACACAAGGATGGAATCCTGACTCTGATTAGGAAAAAGAAAGCAGCAAATGTAGTCCTTAGTTCTAACCATATCTGTGCTTCAAAATCTATTTTGTTCTTTTTGTCTTTAGGCTACTTAATTTGAAGACTATCACTGTTAATGTTTAGCAATTTGGGAAACAGATTCTTCAAGCAACTATACCAATATTTTTGTGCATTCTGGTTGTAATTCCATGAACGACCTTATTTTCTGACACTCATCTTGTAATGGGAGAGTTCCATATATCAGCAAAGTGTATGTCAGGCAGTGATTGACAAGATGGGATACTTTTCATGGTTTTCTAGCTTCAAATACTAATAAGCAGTTGACTCTATTGAACTTCAGAACTAGTACCTCTTCTCAATGAAAACATAAAAAGTAAATATTTTATTTAGAAATTGTCTCTCCACTTTTAAAGCACTTTGTAAATTTTGGCTCTGTTGCTTTCAGAAGTAGGTCCAGGAACTTACAGTTCTCCATTGGTTTCATACGCCAATAGTCTGATCTGACCTTGGCATTTAGTTGTTTAAGGAGAGCAGTTGAGTTCTGCCAGCTAATGTGTGTTGAGGGGGCAGTGGATGTTGATGTAAAAAAGCTTGTTGAAACCAGCTGTGGTACTTGGAGAAGGGGGTGCTGGCCAGAGCTGATTCTCTCTACATGTAGCTGTGCCAACTGTCGGTAAAGAATTCCATAGACTAGGAAGTCGTGTCGCTCACATTATCAGATTTTCCTTTAAAAAGATATTTATAGCCCTGGCCAGTTTGGCTCAGCGGTTAGAGTGTCAGCCTGCGGACCAGAGAGTCCCGGGTTCGGTTCCCGCTAGGGGCATATACAAAAAAAAAAAAAAGATATTTATAACCTAAAACAGTGCTGTATTTGCCAGTAGAACTTGAATGCAGCTTTCTTTGGGTAAGATAGTGATTTTCTTGATGAACAATGGGAAGTTTTTATAACTATGTTTCTGAGCAAATTTTACACTGCTTTTAGCATAATCTGGCCCAGGCTTTTAATATCATTGTGTGTATGGATATTTTTTTCAGTTCTATTTTCTAAAGAATTACCACTTGTATTTTAATTGTTTTTAAAAGTAGTTAACTTTTGTTGACCCAGATGTATGCAGACATATTATTCTGTAGATTTGTTTTTTATCTCTCCATGTCTGCCAGAATATGACCTTTATTCATGGGAAGTGTAGATACTACCCTGCAAAAAATGTTTGCATTTGATATAAGTAATCTGTTATATGACCATATCAGTATTATGGCACTGAGAATACATAATAATATTTTTATAGAAATCGTTTTATCTATTAATGAGATATATGTTCACATGTTTTTATTCTTTAAGATTGAAAGACATGACAACTGTGCCTATGACTACCTGGAAGTTCGAGATGGGACCAATGAAAACAGCCCTTTGATAGGGCGATTCTGTGGTTATGATAAACCTGAGGATATTAAATCTACCTCCAACACCTTGTGGATGAAGTTTGTCTCTGATGGGACTGTGAACAAGGCAGGGTTTGCTGCCAACTTTTTTAAAGGTAATTTGAAATGTGAGATTTTCCTTGTCAGGGATCAATGTGATATTTAACTTTGAGGTAGGGGACAACTAGGGGTAAGGTTTTGTTGAAAGTTGAATTATGCACTGTTCATAAGGGAATTTTGATGGGTTTTGATTGAAAAAATTATTGGTAAAATACTGGAATTTTTTACTTTTTAGCACAGGGTAAGAGTTCCATTAGGATATTCTACTATTTTTTTAAAGAAATAGGAAAAACAAATTTCAGAAAGGAATATATAGACTGAGAGAAAATATTTGCAACACAGTTCAGAAAGGATTCATACCTAGAAAGGGGTTTACTGACTTGCAGTTTATCAATTTCTAGGTGGCAGCATTTCCAAATCACCCATTACAGAACGGCTTTCACTGCATTGGAAATCATTGGTGGCCTCCTTGGTAGAATATCTAAAATGTCTTTTTTTAAAAATTTTTTTGACAAATAATTATTACTGATATGATACTTAAAATTTATTTTTATATAAAGGGTTATTACTGATAAACCTTAATTCTGAGTTATGTATATCTAAGTTTCAGTTTGTTTTTCATGTCCCATATGTGGTGCATATTACTAAAGTAAAAAGAAAACTATTTTAGTGCAAATAATATCAAATATGCATTTAGAAAATCTGTATTTGCTTATATTAGGTGTATCATTGTAGAATAAATTATTTTATGGGAAGAAAAAAAGGTTTTCTCTACTGATTTTTATAGAATAAGGGATGGATTCCGTTATGTTGTAAATATTTAGTGTGATAAATATCTACCATTTTTATTATTTAGAGAACAATGTATAATGGATTTTTCTAAGAGTTTCTTAAGTATTTATCATATGAATTGAAAGGCAGAGAACCTTGGCACTTTTACTATATATATTCAAAGTATTTATTAGAATCTACATTTACATGCTTTAAATCTTCTCTGTGTGTTATATTTTATGGTAGAGAAGCATACTATCAAGGTTTTCTAGTGTGATATTTGTATATTTGGTTATCAAAAATGCTTTTAGTGTTCTGCTGATGTGTAATTTTTCCAAAGAATATTGTTTGCTAATTTCCTAACTCACAATAGGTTGTACCTGAAGAATGAGATTGTAGAGTAGCTTGTCATATGTTTTTTAAAAGGAGAATATCTTTTTCACATATACATTTTATATATCTTTTCATGTTTTCACGTATAATTAAAATAGTACATTTGTTTGTAAAAATATGGAATTATTATATTTTCTGGATTAATATGTCGATATAAAAATACTGAATGCTTAACATTTAAAGAGGTCCAGTAAGTTTCTGAGTTTTTTCTTTTCTTTTATATTCACCATAATCTATTTCTTTCAAAGCATTCTTTAGGGTATTTAGCAAACTAGACTGTGAAATCAACAGGTGAAGCTGTGTATTTTCAGTACGTTTTTCTGTTTTATTCTGAAAAAATATCTAGGTTTTAATAATTCCCTTTGACCTTAAATTCAGGAAAAAACACATTCTGTGTCTGACCTTCAGTTGGCCCTGTCCCTCATTTCTAGTGCGTCTCTCGGTTCTTACACATCTTAGGATGCAGTGGCGTGAATTCTCGTGTGTCGTCTAGCAAGGGCTTGCAAATTGTTCCTGCTCCTTCTCGGGAGCAGTTAATTGTCTCCGTTTCATTCAGAGTATTAAGCATATCAATTTTTGGAAAACTCTTGCACCTTAGCGTATAAAAACAAAATACCCTAGTCGTTCTCCATCTCGCCATCTCTGCAGAGGAGGACGAGTGTGCCAAGCCGGACCGCGGAGGCTGTGAGCAGCGCTGCCTGAACACGCTGGGCAGTTACCAGTGTGCGTGTGAGCCCGGCTACGAGCTGGGGCCCGACAAAAGGAGCTGCGAAGGTACGACTGCATTGCACGTGGGGGTCCCTGCTGAACCCCCTGCCCGAGCCTGTCCTTTCTCCAGTCTAATTCTCTTTCTCTCTTTCTGCCATCCACCTTCCTTTCCTTTCCTTCCCCGTATAGTGACTTCTTCCCTCAACTAGTAAGACTCAATGTATAGTCACAGCTAATGTGACACTACCTCGGTTCTTGTTGTAAAATCAATCATTTCCTCCTTTGTTACCAACCAGGGAATTGTTTATCTACCTACCACCTGTCTGCCTGTCTGCCTGTCTGTCTGTCTGTCTATCTATCTATCTATCATCTATCTGTTTATATAATCTATATATATTTCTGTTTTTATAGCTCTCCGGATCTAGGTTTTTATCCATCTGTCCATCCATCTGTCATTTATTTTTACCTTAATATAATTTATGGGAGTGTCTCCCTTAAAATCCTGATTCTGAACCATCTTTTTATTTCTAGAATCTAGTACAGTCAGACATAAAGTGAGAACTAAATGCATTTTATTAGTAAAAGATGCATAAAGACATTTGGTCGTGGTTTCCACATTTCCTCTGTAATTCTAAGATGAGATTTCTTATTCAGTGTTTGGTTCCGATGCCCTGGGACCTCTTCCTTCAAAATGTGAAGCTGACTCTTCCATTTCCCTGTTCTACACTGTAGTCCTCGTACTTGAATAAAAGACAAAACAAATAAACTGATTTGCCTTTCCCCATTCTGTTCCTCATTCATTCCCCTCTGCACTTGTAGCACTTTAACATTATTCATATGAATGTTTTTTGTTTTTTTTTTAATCCTCACCGGAGGATATTTTTGCATTTTTTGTTCAGACAGAGCGGGAGGGAGAGAGAGGAAGAAAGAGAGAGAGAAACATCGATGTGAAAGGGACACATCGAGTGGCTGCCACCCGCACGACCGACCAGGGCCGGGGACAAACTGCAACTGAGGTACGTGCCCTTAGCGGGAACCGAACCTGGGTCTCTCTGTACCGCAGGCCGACACTCCAACCGCTGAGCCAAACTGGCCAGGGCTTGAATGTATTTATTAAAGTTATTTTTGGTGTTTCCCACAAAAGTGTGAGCTCCCTACACATGAGCACCTTGCTCTCTACTGTATCAGTACAGGAGGACATAAAAAGTGGCAAAGGGGGCAGAATTATTTGCTTAATGAATAAATGTCATATCGCAGTTGACCTATTTACAAAACTCAGGAACTCTCTGTTTCTTCTTCAAAGTTCAAATTGAAGAGATATATATAAATAAATGAAGATATGTCTTACAGAGAAGGACAAAAGTAGGTTTACAGTTATTCAAATGAAAACTAATGCAATAATTAATAATAATACAAGAATAAACTCTGTTTCATATACTCATAACTGTAAACCTACCTTTGCCCCCCTCCCCCACACACATAAGAGCAGTTAAAGTAGAGAACGATTACTTGAGGTAACTCTTGACTCCCTAACAATTAATTGTCAGTCGTGTACAATTTGTATTCTTTTCACTCAGCTTGCACCTGACTTTGCTGAAGTCCCTTTCAATAGGGAAGAGAGGCCACATAAATAATACCTCTTTGAAACAGATCATCCAAAAGGGAAAGAAAACCAGTCGTTAAATGGAGTTTTTGGAATAACAACCATATTCTATTTACTATAGTTTATCTTGCCTGCTAGTCAGGCAACTCTATCCAAGAATTGCTTGTGCTGGGAAAAAAAGAGTTTAAAGAAATAAACACGTGTTTTGTTCTTACAGCATCAGACCATATTGTGCTTTATATATATCTTTTCATTGATTTTCACAATAACCATATGGTGTAGATATTGTCATACCCATTTAAGGGACAAGGATGCTGACACCCAGTTTTCCTCATATTGGTCAGAATGATCTAAAATGTTGTAGTATAGCCATTCTTTGCTTGGCTCCAAAGCTACAAAATAATTTACATGTGGGAATAGCTGATTAAAATCATACTAAAGTCTAAGGAACAGAGACTATAGCGCTCTAGTTCTTGAAAAATGTGGAAGGTAGTTGAAATTTAATGCAGAGACATTGGGTTATCAAGGGGAAGGCGCTAAGATAGGGATGACCTTGTTAAGGGAAAACTTGTTATTTTTCTTCTAGCTGCTTGTGGTGGATTTCTTACCAAACTTAATGGCACCATAACGACACCAGGCTGGCCCAAGGAGTACCCTCCCAATAAAAACTGCGTGTGGCAAGTGGTCGCACCAACCCAGTACCGAATTTCTGTGAAGTTTGAGTTTTTTGAATTGGAGGGCAATGAAGTAAGTGAACAATAAATATAATTTTTATCTATCATGTTTTGGGAATTTCTGAAGGCAAACTGGTAAACTAAAAATATGAAGAAAGAATGTGTTTCATTGGTACAATAGTATCAATGTTGTAGTCTTCCTTTGTCCTACTGCTCATTTCTGCAACTGCTTATTAATTCCTGTTGGGACTGGGTAATATTTTAGACTGTTTCTGGGAGACTGAAAATTACTGCGAGGGAGTTTTTATTTGGTGTATTAATATACAGCATTTTTTGATTTATTAAAGAACTCTGAGAAAATTAGGGTCAGCTTCATGTCACATAGACTTTTCTGAAAAGAAAATAAACCAAAATCCACTGGTTGAGTCATAACAAAAATGTTCTTTTGGGAGAATCTGGTATATTTGACTTGTGGAAATGAATATATTTTCATTACATAAGCAGATTTTTGTTATGAATGTGCTGCTGGTACTCAAATAAGGAAAAATTCATACTTTACCCTCAATAAAAGATGCATTTAGTTGATAGTCTTTGATTTACAAAATTAAAATTTTAAACCTCAGTAAAAGATGCATTTAATTGATACTATCTTTTCTTTATGGAAGTTTTCTGCTGTAAAGGTACAGTTTTCTGTCAGGTGACCACATCTAAACAAATGAAATAATTGACCTAACAGGCATTTCTGTGTGGTTTAAAGCTCTTACTAATAGCTTCAAGATAAAAAGAAGTTGCAGACTTTTATTTTTCCTTGAAGGCAATTAAAGTCTGAAATGTGACAAACCTTTATTTCAGGGAATTGTAGAATTTTAGGGATCAATGGACATTTTGAAATTTTCTTTATGTTATAAAACAGTTTTATGATGGAAAAGGCCACAGTGTATATTTATAGCATGATTTAGCCACATGGAACATTATTTTCCATTAATATTGTTTGAAATTTGGGGAAACTTAAATGAAGAAAATGTTTTTATAGAATTTTTAGAAAAGCTTTCAAGTGAGTAACTCTTTTTGAAAATGGGACTCTCCCTACCAGTCCGGTGGTGGGACGTGAACTTTGTGTTGAATGACTTCTATCCTCTCACTTTTCCCTAAAGCTATTAGTTGTGGCAGATACGAGATTTTAATTCATTCATTGATAAGTGTTCCTAAGAAGTTGGAAGTTTATATTCAGGAGGAAGGAGGGTAAATGGCTTTAGATAAATGGAGCATTGTGTTCCAAAAGCATTTTTCTCATGATAGTCTTTAGGTCTTTATTCAGGGAAGGACCCTTTACAAAGTCTGTCACAGATCTCAGAATCCTTAAACTTATAATGATGTTACTGTGTGGAAGGCTGTTACAAAATTCTGTGTATTTTCATAGTTTGATGTGTTAGCTATTTAAAATAAAGGCACGAGCAAAAACCTGACCTATAGAATACTGAATTAAGTTAAAACCTGGTTATTTTATTCATTAATTAATATCCAAAAGGAAAATCAATGTCAAACACCTTTGGCCTTGGCCCTCTCTAAACAAAAGTTGCTTCTGTAACAAAGTAGATAGAAAACTCATTTCATTTTTTTCTAGCAACATTTTGCTAATTTATCACCTAATTAATATCACAAGAATCAGTAACTTGAGTTGACATATTGCACAGTACAGATCATGCCCCAGGGTTCAATCATATGCATTGTTAAACTTGCTAATTACACATTTATGTAATAAGATCATTCACACAAGGTGTTCTTTAGAATGAACCCTGTCGGAACTTTAAAATTGTATTATGGAAACATCTGTTAGTGGGCATAAAATTGCTTAAAAATACCTGGCATTCACTCAACTTCTTCCATTTTGGTGGTGTTTGTACATTACATATAAATCCGATCTCATTTTAGTATAAATTTCTGCCTTCATCCCACTGTGTAGAATTCCTATTTGTTTGCAATCCTGAAGAGTAACTTCAACTCAAAGAAATTAAGAAATATCAATTTATTTGATAAGTTTGAAAGGCAAAGGATCCTTTTTATGACATACCAAGTGTCTATCTCACTTTGAAATTTCCTAATGGTGCTGTTCTGATTAGAATGAAGTTTCTGGGGGACAGCTCTGGACCCAGCCAAACTCCCCGGTGTTAATAACCACGATGCTACGCACGATATGTATAATGTTAGGCAAGGTATATAAAATTTCTGAGCCTCAGTTTTCCTATTTTTACTGTAGAAAGGATAATTTCTGGTGCTAATGGTTGTTTCATGGACTAAATGTACCAATTTTATGTGCTTGTCAGCATTAAATAAGATAGTACATGACAAGTTTTTCATAGTCCCTAGTGAAAATTTAAATATCTAAACGTTTTAAAAGAGATATAAGATGTGTGCTATGAATATATATAAATAAGCACACATTTGTGTGTGTCCGTGTGTGTATATACACACACACACACATATATATCTTGGAGGGAGATATTCAGAGAAAAATTCTTCTCACATCGGTCTCTCAAGGCTTTCTGTCCCATATTTAGACCCTTTCCTTGATTTTTTTCTTTATCTGTTAATTCCAATTTGACAGGGTTGCAAAGTACAGCATAGAGAATATAGTCAATTATATTGTAATAACTGTATATGGTGCCGCATGAGAACTCAAAATACCGGGGCGGTGGGGGGGAACCACTTTGTAAAATCTATGATTGTATAACCATTGTGCTGTACACCTAAAACCAATATAAAGTCATACCGAATGTCTGCTGCAACTGAAAAATAAAATTAAAAAAATCAATGTCAGCTATCTGATACTCTGCGATCTGGTGACTGCAGTAAGCATGTTTTCCCCCTAGGTTTGCAAGTACGATTACGTGGAGATTTGGAGTGGCCTCTCCTCTGAGTCTAAACTGCATGGCAAGTTTTGCGGTGCGGAAGTGCCTGACGTGATCACATCCCAGTTCAACAACATGAGGATCGAATTCAAATCTGACAATACTGTGTCCAAGAAGGGCTTCAAAGCACACTTTTTCTCAGGTAGCAGTCAGTGTTCACAAGCTGCATGTGTGTATCACGGATTTTCAAGGTGGATTGGCTTAAATCATAATGTCTTCATTGCATAAATGTAACTTGGAGGTACAAAGAGGGCACGGACATTGACCCCAGGTTGAACAATTTTTTTTACTTAACATTAAGATGTTAGTAATAGGGACCCTGTTGAAATGTAGCTGTCAAGCACTTAGATCTTATATAAACTAATCAAACATTATTAAGGCCAGTACAAGTAACATAAAATTATTATAATAATATTTTCATATGGTGACTTTACTCTTTACAAATGGGTGGAGATTATAATACCAAACTTCCCAAAACTGGCAGACGTCTTCAAAATAATTCAACTTTGTTTTTGGAATATAGGGTGTTATCTTAAGAACATATTTTTATTCTTACTATTTAGCAACATATTTCTCTTATTATTATATGTTTATTTTTATTATTAGCTGATATTAAAATCACATTTTACCTCATCGTCATAGAAGTGATTGCAGGCAGAGACTTAGAACTATGGAAGTGATCATTTTACTAAAAACAATATATTTGCAGGTATATTTAGCATTTGACACTTCTGTGTTTGGAATTTAATGTTTAGTTTCATGAACTTGGAGTAAAAGTTCTCTCTCTTAAAGAACTGAAATTTGATCCAAGTCTCCCAGTTTTAAGAAAGTATAGAGAAACATCAGTAAAATTCCTTTGTTTTCCCAATTTCATACTTTATAAAAATATTATTGTAAATTTTTAAAAATAGATAACATAATAAACCTTAGCGTAGCAACCTATTCTGCCTTTCAGATTGGAAAGCAATTTCAAGCAACTGAATTCCAATTATGTTTTAATATTAGGTAATTTGGATTGAGTTAATTCAAAGTCCATTTATCCCAGTCCCCATGTGTTTAAAATCAATGAGATTTACAATAGCCGGAGTTTGTTTGGAGTTTTCAGTGTAATTGAAGTTAATGGTTCACAAGCTCCACTGAAGTTCAAGTCATACACAAAAGTACACTCAAAATACAATGCATCTCGCTTCCTTGTTCCCCTTCCCTTCCTTCCCCCAGATTTAATTGCCTTTTAAAAATTCTTCTCAGGCATTCATTTAAGGTTTATGTTATTCAAAGTAGACTTTCAATATCCTATTTCAATAAAAGAAGACTTCCTGAGTCTTCACTGTTTTAAAAATATCATATATGCTGCAAATTTTAGGTTTCCAGTCATTAGAGATAAGGATTCTCATCTTAGAGCCACCTAAATATTATTTTAAAAATTGAAATTATAAAGTAAATACATTTTATCATAATATTGATAATATTCAGGATCCTTCTCACTTTAAATTAGTTATACATTTCATTTAATAATGCTTTTTACAAAGTGCATGCTGTGTGTACTGGTGACCAAGTATGATTAAATTTAAAGTTACGGAATATTTAAAGTTCATTCTCTGATATTTTTGGTCAGGCAGAACTTTCAAAACTATAAAGAGAGCTTACTTGTTTGTATCTTTAGAATAATGCTATTGAAATATTAGTCGTGCTACGTTAATTCTTGTAATATAGATACGAAGGCACATGCAGAAGATGCCTTTTTCAGCATGACAGGACATGGTCTTTATTTCTATCTCAGTGCAGCTATAAATTGTAAAATTATCTGAGTACCTTGGTAGTGCTAAAGCTCATACTGGTTAATTTGCTATAAATCACGTCTACTGATGCAGATTGTTTTAGGAAATCATCTCTGTTTTTAGTATTTATCAGTGCTGTATTTAAAAATTATAAATCAGCTAGGTGGCGATACTTCATATTGATAGCGTGTAGCCTAAGTTGTTCGGGGCATGTAGGTAGGTAAGTACAGTGAACAATGAAGTTCAAGGGGACATTAAACACCAAACCGTCATAGAGCTGCACTTTGAGAACTTCCTATGCAGACACACACTATCTCACTGTTATAGACACTTGACAGATGAAGCAGCTGAGCAGTTAAGTAAACTGCTTAGCATCACCAAGCATTTAAACCCCCACTTGTCCTGGTTTGTCTCAACTGTAAGAGCTGATCATGCCCTTTGCGACGGTGTTAGTTACATGTTACACTGAACATATTTACAACCTGAAAAACAACAGACATGATTTTCACCTATTAGATTAGTTTGTAAAGTCCAAGAAAATTGTCATTAAGTATAAACTTTCAGTGTTTTTGTTTTTTGTTTTTGATGCATTGAAAAGTCTTGGCAGTTGGTCAGATTCATATTTAAAATACTGTGGTTCTGGATGTAATTAAATCTATTTCACATTTAAGTTCCTGGGTTATACCTTTGCTCAGGGAGAGGGAAGATGAAAACATTGTATCTATAATAAAGAGCTGGTGTGGTGCTATCAAGAAATGGCAACAAATAAGGACTTAGGTTATTCAATGTCCTAATTATGATCATCTCACAAAATCATAATTGACAAAAGATCACCTATTTTAATAGATAGGTGCTATCCACACTGAAAATAGTATTTGACTTCTAATAAAACTATCATTATAATAATATATAGCCATGTGTTATTTTAATGATAAAGATAACATAATTGACTCCATGGTGTAAATTGTTCTCAATGATAAGATATGAATGGAAATCTCCGTAGGAAACTCTCTGTGCACTGTGCATACAGCTGAGCATGTGGGTGGGAGCCAACCTCTGAGCTGCTCTATAAAACTATCAAGAATGTTTGTATGAAGGTGGAGAGTTGGTGCATCACAGTTCTCCAATTTGTCTCAGTTTTCATTTGATTTAATTATAAAAATAATTTTAAGAGAGTAATTCATATCATATTTCTACCTATCAGTTACCCCAAATATTTCTAGATTTACAAATAGTACCTGATATACTTTGATCTTTGAGAGTTAAGAAATTTAAAACCTCATCTCTTTATTAATTAGTAAATACAAGTTAGAAATACAAGTTACTATTAATGTTTTTAGTTAAATTTTATCATTTTAATTTTACAGTTAATTTGTAACATTATCTTATTATAGACAAGTGAATAAATTTTACTTTATTGTATCTGTTAATCAAGTGATATTTTATGAAGACTTAGTCTTAAATGCTTCTGTTTGTAACCAGTGTTCTAAATATTTCAGAACTGGTTATGAATTTATGAAAACATAATAGTAATATAACATGTTCAACTATTTTTTCCATTCTTTTTCTAAAAACAATTATTAAATAAAAAGAAGAAACAATATTTGACAGTAGGTAATTTAATATTATTTGGAGAAGAAAGCTATTTAGAAGTGAATTCGAGCTTTCTTTCCGCTAAGTGATGCATCAAGGAAAAAGACGATGACATATATTTAGGTTTTTAATGTATAGTATACAATGAAAATATTTATAATCATATAGAGATTTGGGGTATTTTTTCACATAGCATTCCATTTTAAATAAGCACCTTATAGACCTAAGAAATGGAATTGGAAGAATGACTCTAAGAACTTATTAGCAGAGTAATTAATATCAATTTTCTGTCATAAAAAGTAAGAAACCATCACATATGAATTCTGATTTAATATCTTAAACTAGTCATGAGAAATTCTATAGCTTGAAAATTTAGAAGTTATTGTATCACACAACAGAAAATCTACAAGCTCCTCTACAAAAATTAAAGTGTAATATACTGTACTGATTCTAGAATATATTTTAAAAGCATTATAATGAAGTAATAACAAAACAAATAAGGATATTAGAACTATCAAACTAAAGTTATTTGGACATTATGTAGTATTATGTGTCTATTGAATTTTTAACTAATTAGAATATAGTGGTAGGCATTGTATTTTCTTGGACTGAATGAGGTTTGTTTCTAGATTAACGATAATTACTTACTTAATATGATAGTGAAACCAAACTTAATTTTATGTTATGTTGTATCTGAACACAAGTATACAAATAAGCACAGGTATACTCAGAACAAAGTTATTTTTCTTTTTCTTTTCTTTTTTTATCCTCATTCGAGGTCACTTTTTTGTTTTTTGTTCAAATAGAGTGGGAGGGAGAGAGAACAAGAGAGAGAGAGAGAGAGAGAGAGAAATATCGATGTGAAAGGGACACATCGAGTGGCTGCCACCTGCACGACCCAACCAGGGCCGGGGACAAACTGCAACCGAGTTACATGCCCTTAGCGGGAATTGAACCCGGGTCTCTCTGGACCGCAGGCCACGCTCTAACCACTGAGGCAAACCGGCCAGGGCCAAAGTTATTTTTCTTTATATGGGTTAAACTTAAAGGGAATATTAGTAGAATTTAATGCATATAAAAACATCAACATTGGGGAAATTGACATGTTTTTAAATTTTTAATTGTAGCATTTATATTTGGGGAATAATATAACAAATGACTTCAGGCAATGAGAGTTGAGCATAGACATTGTGCCTTCTTAGGCAACCTTGTATTAGTGCAAAGACTCAGTTATGACTTCTGCAATACTGAGAACTCAGAATGCGAAGAATAAACCTCGTTAAAGCAGTCTTCCTCATGGATAATTTTAATGGGAATGTAATCTGTCACTGATGGGCCTAGTGACTGGCTTCAAGGAAGGAAATAAAACCCAGATTTCCTGACTCCCAGTTTATTTGTGTCTGTAATAAATATCAGGGTCAGATAAAATGATTTGTGCACTTTTCCTGTCTTTAAATACAAGTGATTACAACTGACACGCTCCTTACCTTACCACCTTTCTCATATACAGAATTCCTTTACAGTGTTCTTCCTCTACCCCATTTCCCTCATGGAATGGGCATCGATATTTCAGAAGATATTTAACCTCATTTTGTCCTAACAAATCTTTAAATATCAGTGTGATTAATTTCAAATGAGAACACAGTTAAAACTTTCCTATGAGTTTGAATCCTGTTCCAAGATTTCATTAACGATATTTAGATATATGCATGTTTTAGAAAGAGTAAGTTGTCTCTGTTGTACCTCAGAGTTTCTTAGTGCTTTTTTGAAGGTGATTATTTATTCAGTAGTTTTGTGCTGAAACCTATGCATGCCATGTATGTGTGTACACATGCATGGAAGTGTATGTGTGTGTGTGCAAGTGTGCATGGGTCGGTTTATTTTATATTTGGGCATTTATTGGGAGTATATCTGCTCATACATGTTTCTGTTCTGGTGCACGGACCCTTCTTATTCCTACAGATAAGGAAGCTTTCTGCAAAGAGAAAATTTTTATTTTTGAATCTTGCAAGAACCTGATACAGGTTGCCACATCAGTACCATCCAGTATGTATTATTCATAAACGGATGGGCTCTGATAGTCCCAGGGATACTCTGCAGGCCTCTGATGGGAAATGCCACCTCCTCTGTCCCTTGTAATGGACGTGTCCTTCGTCTAACAGGAAGGAATGGAGAGTAGAGAAGTCCATTCCAATGAAGGGGGCTAATTTCCATCTGCAGAAAATAAATGTTTTTATTTCTACTCACCAAAACATTTATTTCTCTCACTAACAAAAACTATTTTTAAAATGTTGTGGCTACAGTGTGAAAATGCTAGAAAATTTCAAATAAATTATTGATTGACTTCTCAGGTGTTAAGTTTATTATACAGACATTCTGAGAAATATTTAAAACTCTGCAGCCTTCTTGGTTTTCTCCTTTGGACTTTTCAGTGTTCAAAATACTTATAATTTGTGTCCTAAGAGAAGAAAGGGAGAAAAAGTGAAAACATAATTGTGTTTGCTAATAGCTTTTTTCCCTGGTTTGATGACCTCTCCTACATAAGAAGTCCAGAATATATATTTGTGGAATTAGGTCTTTTATGATGTTGCTATTTCTCATCAATATAGATATTCTGAAATTACATTCACTTTAATTAGAATAGTTTATTTACTTCTATTCAAACAAATGTTTTTAAAAATAGCCTCACCACTACTTCTTAGACAGCTTAAAACATTAAGTTAAATATCTTCTTTATCTGAATGATGTAAAACATCTGGATGATTTTAAGTATTCCTTTGTTTACTGAAATTTTCTCTTTTCATAGGACTATTTGACTCATGGAGGCACAGTTTTAGATGCTACTTTGCTGGGCGCGATAACTTTCCTCTGCAGCTTTTACTTTCTTTATTAGACTAGTTTTGAATTTTAACTAAACTTTAGATTAATTCATACATATATTCTAGCATGTATCATTAATTTTTATGTAACTTTGATTATATTACAATATTAGGTGTAGGGACAAAGGCAGGAAACACCAATCACCTGGGAAACTGAAAAATCATAGATACTTAGACAATAATGAATGTATACAATCTTCTTCTTCCTCCTCCTACTCTCCTTCCTTCGTCTCCTCGTTCCTCTAAAAATTATTTTTAAAGTTATTATTTTTCCAGCACAACAGAAATATGAATAATTGACTATGAAAAAAAACAACACCATTCTAATATGATTGGTTTTACTTTCAACATTGTTTCTTTTTAGTTACCATTACCATAAGTCAGATTATGTTCTATCAAATCTAAATTAAAAAAAAAAAACTCTCCTTAGACATATCACCTAGTGACTTGAGATTTCCACTAGAATGAAGCTTCAATGTTAGAAATATTTTTTTGTATTGGAATTATTTTCATTATGAAATGACTGTGGATTTAGAAACTCAGCAATAATAGCTTGTGTTCATTCATGGTTTTATTTGAATAGTTTTAAATGTCTGATGTATGGCAGTTCGGACAGATCTAGATAAAAGAAGGATGCAGGCAATCCCAACTACCACAGGGTCCATCACTTAGCAACTACTCCGCTTACAGTCCTCAGATTGTCAACCAGCTCTCAGAGGTCTGGTTGACCTATAATACAAGCAAAGTTCTCTCTGGCTGCTTTATTTTAAGTACAACAAGCAATCATCATACAAACATTTTCATAGGGAATATGTGTCTATTTCAGAGTAAGAAATTCTAGCACCAGAAAATTTTAAATTGGCTCTTTCCATTTACCAAAGAAGTGTATTTCTATATCCACTCATGAGAGAGGGTTTTATGAAGCATCTTAAGAGCCTTTAGAAAGGTGCATTAAAATAATAAATTTAGATCACTTACTGCTTGCCTGTCTGAATTAGAATATATAGGTAGCTGCCACAGCGGTGGTAGGAAGTATGGTTTACTATTCCCCTTTCTGCATAAATCATTAATAACTCAAACTGTAATTTTCGTTGTTGATGCAAATAAGGGAACAGGGATTCCAAATTATTATAACTTTCTCTAAAATTTTACAAGGCTAATTTTCTACTAATGTCTAATTTCTATACATTTTGGTGTTTGATGTTAGATAATTATCTTTATTCTATGTTGTTGTTTTTTTGTCTCCATAGTACGTATTAAAAGTGTAAGAAATTATTAAGGATATGTAGAGAACACATAAATCACAGATATATTGGTCCTGATATGTTCTTTAGAATTTTGGGACTGCCTGTATGTATTTGGAATATTTTGATATTTCCAATGCATGAATATATCCCAGGATCATGTCTATACTATACCATGTAATCAGTCTCCAAAAGGAGAAAAATAGATGTATCCTTAAAAGTTACTCTCAGATACTTTGATAAAAATGTCTTTCCTAAACCCATCATCATAGAGTGAATATTGATTTGATAAAAGGTAAATACAGGCTTTGCTATTTGTGCACCACCATGCGCTCACAAATTCCCTTCGAAAAAATTAGTTGACAGTGTAAATTGTGAATTCAGCCTAACCTCTGATGACTGTCATGGTCCCTTTTGTTCTCTGTGCTGTGGGAGTGATGACAGTCTGAGTGACATGTCGTCATACATGTGTGTCACGAGCACTCTGCCAGTTCTGACCCTGATGGACAGCCGGCCATGAAATGAGAGCTGAGGGACATATATGGCTGACAATGCCTCTCACTGGATTGACTGCCTGCTACTCTAATTTGGTTTTTGTTCCTGTAGTGCCTTTGTTGGCTATTTCGTAGAGCTCATATGTCCTATTCTAACCTTTGCTTCTAGCCCAATAAAAGCCCTTTTAGGGAATTACTCTGCTGGAGTAGATTTTTAAAAAACATATAAATAGCTTTCTTCTTTAGGATAGTTTACTGATACCTTTTTCTGTCTTGCAGTATTACGAAATGTCCAGATTTATCAATGCTTAGCCTAACTGCAAAGTAAATGAAAATCAGCTAGAGTAGTTACACTAACTGATTTTTTACACCAGTCGTGGAAACTTGTTTAGCTTCTGTCTAAACACCATGGTTATTATATTAAAGGATTTCCCTCTACTTTAATACCATATTCAAGCTACTCACAATTTGGCATTTATTTATTTTTTATCGGCAATAAGTATTCAGGATTAATTGCTAAAAGACCTGGTCTTTCTCTGCCTCCTACTCAAAACTTCTACTCCTGTGGTAAAAGAAGATGACAAGTTCTCATCCTGGCTCAAATGACCTGGGAAACGCAATTCATGGCACAAGGCGCCAAGCTAAACAAGGACTGGGTAGAACTCAGACACTAGATTTTTTTGTTGTTTTTGTGTTTTATGTTGGGAACGGGAAGCAGTGGCTTAGTTTGCCCTTTGCCAGTGTTCACCACAACTAAATGATTCTCCCTTGGTATTCTTTGTTGTCAAAGCTGCTCACTAAACTACGGGGTGATCTCTTTGCTAGACAAAGACGAATGCTCGAAGGACAACGGCGGGTGTCAACACGAGTGCGTCAACACGATGGGAAGCTACGTGTGTCAGTGCCGCAACGGGTTTGTGCTGCACGAGAACAAACACGGCTGCAAGGAAGGTATGGCGGGCATGCGCTTTTCCTGGCAGCAGCTAGAAGTTCATGCCATTTGGGTAAAACACTGCTTCCAGGTAGAGTCAATCGTATCATGAGTGATGTTACTTTTGAGTGTTCAAATGTCAAAAAAAAACAAAACCAAGTGCGGTGCGCAAAGACCCAAGGCAAACTATTGGAAACTGCATATTCCCAAGAGTCTGCACTCCACACATGGCATTAGAATAACTTCATACCACAGACATAGATGCTGCTGTGATGGTATCTGGCAGCCAGAAAAGCACCACTTTATCCCCAGGTCTTCGTGGGACAGACCTTATAATAGTCTTTATATTTAAGCGGAATTTCTGCTGAAGTCTTTGCATTTGGTTTAGTTTCCCTCCCCCAAATATCGCATATATGTGCTCTACGAGTGATGCCACTTTAAATACCAGGAGAGGCAAACTCAAATGCCTACCAGAGGAGAGGCATTTGAAAATGGTAGCTACTCTGCCTTTTAAAGTTTTAAGTCTTGGTTTTAGAAAAACAAAATTAAACACACTAGTAACATAACAGGAGCCTACCAGTTTTTGGCTTTTGGGCCCCCAGGCTTTACAATAGTTCAAGATTTTAGAAAAACGACAGTTGCCAGTGTGAGCTGGATGGGCAAAAGAAATAGTTACTCAGTTTTTATTTCTTCCTTTGAGGGTCTGCTCCTGAATTTTCTACTTAACTTGGATTTATGCCTGTTTTGAAAGAATGGCTGAGGCAGATTTTGTAATCTGTGTCATTAGCACACGTAGATTTGTTAGTACCTGACTAGAAGCACGGCTAGACAGCAAATGTTTGCATGCACACTCGAATAGTATCTGAATTGGGCTTTGTTCTATTTAGTTCCATTCGAATATGGTCATAAGCAAGGAGGAGGGGAGGGGGTTAATGGGGAAAAAAGGGGGGAAATCTGTAATACTTTCAACAATAAAGATGCATTTTAAACATATTTGGTCATGGGTCAGGGTGTTTTTTTTTCTGGTTTTTATAGAGCTACTGACATTGCCCAGAATCATGTGCAAGTAGGATTTTGGTCTCTTTTCACTTTCATCTGTGAGTCTAGACCCATGGGGATTCTGATGTTTGTAACTTGGTCAAGTATTCTATGAAATCATTAGGCTGGGAAACAGGCCAAATTATTTTGCGGATACGGAAGGTAATTCAGAGCAAAAAAGAGGCAGCTCTTGCAGAGTATGCATGCGGCCTCGGGCTCACAGGCAGCAAATAAATGCAGATATCTTAGATCTCTGGTCATTACAGTAAGTATTTTCAAGAAAGACTTGTATAGGAAACTTTCTTTTAGCTAGAACTATATCCTGGTACCCCAATGAAGTTCATTTTTATTGCCAGGAAAGGGGTCAGATTTCCTTTTACCTCTGCTATCACGTGGGCAGAGTCCACAGTTCATCAGCGAGCCTCTTGGCTTTGTCTTGGAAAGTCTTTGCCAGATTCCGGAGACTCCACATTTCATATGGCAAAGCAAAGACAGGGAGCATGGAATTTAGAATACCCTGGTCAAGACAGGATCCAGACTTTAAGGCTATTTTGTTGTTACATGATCCTATGTTGTCAGAAAGGAGCTGAATTTCACCTCCTTGCTGTATTCCTCGCAAATCCAAACCTCCCTATGGACCCCCGCACTGTTCAGATCAAGGTCCAGTGGTAAGGACTGTGACAACAACACGTTCCTGTTGGCATCCTGCCTTTATTGTGCAGCCCTGCTGTGGAGCAGGTGCTTTGTCCATTTAGTAAAGGATTTCCCCAAAGAGGTTTCTTGGAAAATTTCAGGGAATTTATTGTACTTCAGAATGGGATACACAATACATAACAAACAATCCGCAGTCTAAATCAGGACGTGTAAGGTGCTGCTTCATAAATTATACAGAATGAACGGAGCCTGAGGATATTAAGTGCTTTTGAAATTTAATATTAACACATGGATGCCTTTAAGATGAAGTTATTTCAATTGTGAAAAACCTAAAAGAAATTTCATCTTAATTGAATATTCTTGGATTAGTTTAGAAGCTATCACCCTGGCTAGTAACTGCTCACTTATCCCCCTCCTCCCCCCTTATTGCTTCATTATACTTTGATGAAATTGGAGTTGATTTACTTTAGCAGCCAAAATGTTAGTTTCAGTATTCAAATGTACATTTTAACTAAAGGAGAGAGAAAATATAAATACATAATTCATAAAGTGCCTTCATGATGTTAATTAGCTATAAATGATGTTTCTGTTAATAGAAAACAATGAATTAAAATAGCATAATCCATTGATTTTTATTTGTAGCATTGCATTAAATATTTTGCACATACCAGGTGTTGCTGTCCTTGATTGTCAATATATGTTGCTCTGTTAAAGTCTGAACTTACAGATCCAGCAGTTTAAAATCATTTATTTTCTGTTAGGTATGTATAAAATTCATCGTAAACACTTAATTTCATGAAAGCAAGAAAATAAACATTGCCTGATTAAGCTCAGCAACATGTGTGCCAAAGCAGATGAATATTATAACAGAGACTGGAGTGATGATTAGTTAGTATTCAGAAAAATCTTTCAGTAAGATAGTGGGTAAACAGGCTGCTTTCTTGTTGATCCAATACTGGGCTAGATTTCTGCACTGATTGATATTATCATTATTGGCACAGCTGAATGTGAACAGAAGATCCACAGTCCAAGTGGCTTCATCACCAGCCCCAACTGGCCAGACAAGTACCCAAGCAGGAAGGAATGCACATGGGAAATCAGTGCCACTCCGGGCCATCGAGTCAAATTAGTAAGTGAGCACATCATCCTTCTTTTATTAAGCTGACTGCCCATGTCTTCCATGGCTAGCACGTGAAAGTAAAATGAATGTTTATTTAATTGAATTGAGTTAGTAGGCAGATAGAAAAGATTTTCCTTCTTATGCTTTCCTGCTGACACTAAAAAAAATCCCTGATTTTTTAGATCAAGGCGATAGTAATGGTAGCCATGAGCTTCTCACATAGTGACCTTATCCTGGATGCTTTAAAAGGTATTACCAACGTTACTGCAAAGCAGTAAGCTCTACTTCATAATGTATTATTAAACATGATGTTTCCAAATGGAGAAAGCTAAAAAGGCTTAAAAAAATTAGAAATTGAGCAAGACAGCATTAAAATAGGTATTCACTTAAACACAGCATAGTAAATTCTATTGACTGTGTCATTTCTATATGCCTCATAGACAGAGCATATGTATTTTCTATAATAAAACTAATTTTGTTTTGCAGTTTGTGAAATATTATTTTTGCATACTACAGTTGCCCTCTCTAGATGAATACTGATATTCTAGACTTCTCCCAAATTCAAATATAAATTTGTGTTTGTCCTTTTTCCTGTATTCTTTGAGCCTCACATTCTGTCTGGTCATCTGATCGTATATATTTAATTTCATTATAGGTTACAGAATACTTGGAGAGAATAATTTTAAAAATCAAATCATAGGAATATAGAAATTTTAACAATTACCTCAATATGCTGCTGTCAAAAGCATGAGAAAATGACAGCTAGCAAGGCTCAGGATAGCCTAGCAGTCTCCATAACAACGGACAAGATATTGCGTTGAGATTGGGACTGGACCAGTCTAGCAATAATGTTAATTTAAAAATTGTTTTAACCCTTTCCTTTAGTGACTTTAGTTTTGGCCAATAAAGAGGTTGTCATTTTCTGTAGCATTATAATAATAAAATTAGAGACAGCCACCAATATATTTATATTCCTATTATGGAGCTCCCTGCAGTCAAAATATTGCTAAAATATTGGTAGGTGACTTTCCAAACAGACATCCATTCATTTCAGCCAGTCTTTGGAAGGATGCTAGATGCTAAGGTGACAGCACTGTGAAACATGGTTGCTTTCCAGTCCTGTCCAAGGTCCTGACCGAGAGGCTCACTCTCTGAAAGCTCTGGGCTGAGATGTAGAGGCTGCGTTCTTTTCAGCAGAGCAGTTAGCAAAGGGGGTTGAGAACATGGATATTTCAAAATACTTTTTTGTGTGTAGATCCAAATTTTGTCTGGTATTTGATATCAAAGTCTTCTAAAGAATTTCCTTTTATATGTTGAGTAAAGTATGTCTGTGTAGTGTCACTATTTAAAGACATTTTCACTGGGTATAGAATTCTAGGATGACAATTTTATTTTCCTGTCTGCACTTTATTTTCCTGTCTGCACATTATTTTCTGACTTTCATTGTTTCTAATAAGTCTGTTGTAAATCTCAATTTTATTCCTGTGAAAGTAATGATTCCTTTATCCTATGGCTACAACTCAACTTTTTTTTTTTTAATCAGCAGTTTGAATTCAATGTATCTAGGAGTGTGTGTGTGTGTGTGTGTGTGTGTGTGTTTTATGTGTAGTAATTTATTCTCAGATTTCTATGAATTTCTTGCATCTGTACTGTGGTATCTGTCATGAATTTTTGAAAAATTTCAACCATTTATTTTCCACAAAATTCTCTGCATTATTGTCTTTCTTCACCTTCTTGGACTTCAATTACACATAAACTATGTTGTTTCATTTTAGCCCATAACTCTTTGATGCTCTGTTATTTTTAGTCATTCTTTTTTGAGTCTTAAGTTTTAGTAATTTATATGAGCCTATCTTCAAGTTCCATAATTGTTTCTTTGGCTGTCTTAAGTCTACTGATAAGCTTTTTAAAGATGTTCTTTATCTCTCTTATGTTTTCTATCTCTAACATTTCCATTTGATCCATTATTATAGTTCTTATGTGTATTAGTCAGCTCAGGCTGCCATGAAAATACCATAGAGTGTCTAAAACACCAAAATTTGATTTTCTCACAGTTTTGGAACCTTGAAGTTCAAGATCAGGTGCTGTCAGTGTTGGCATCCAGGGAGGCCTGTTTTCCTGGCTTTTGATGATGCTTCATTGCTCTGTCTTCACATGACCTCTTCTCTTTTTTGCATGAACAGAGAAGTACTGCTCTGGTGCTTCTTCACCTTCTTATAAGGACACTAATGGGATTAGGGCTTCATCCTTAGGACCTCGTTTAACCTTAATTACCGTCCTAAAGGACCTCCCTGTAAGTGCAGGCACGTTGGAGTTTAGGACATTGACATATGAATTGAGGGAAAGGCAATTCATGTCAAATAACAGTCTGAATGCTGAAATTTCCCATCTATTTTTGCATGTTGCCTGCATTTTCATTAGAATCTTTAGCAAATTAATTATAGTTATTTTAAATTCTGTTTGATAGTTTAAACATAGGGGTCATGTTTGAGTCTGTTCTTTTATCTCTTAACACTGTGATGTTCTTGGTTTTTTTGTTTGTTTTGCCTTTCTTAGTGTCATTACTTTTTTAAATTAAATGCCATACATTATGTGTATAATAATAGTAGAGACTTTACATCTGGAAATAGATGCATCTTTTCTGTTAGGCTATTAGTGTATGTGTGTATATGGGAGAAGGTGTTGTTGAAAGAATTTAGTCAGTAATTAAGCTGAGTTTGGCTTTTCTTGTTTCTGTGATATCTTCAATGTACCATTGGCTTCAAATTCCTTTTTCTTAGATGGGAAGCTAAGATTTAAGAGGCATTTTATCAATGTTTGGCCTACATCTTTTGCTTCCCCATTGATATCCACCATGAACCGTGTCCCTCTCCATACTTGTTTCTTCTCCAGTGGTAGACTGCAGTTGCTCATTACTTGGTGCTTCCTACTCCGGTGGTGAGGGCAAGGGGTTCTCTATTGTCTTAGCACATCCTCCTCTTTAGATAGGCTCTGTGGTTTAGGTACTAGGGTTTATCTTTCCCAGTGGTCCTGTTTTTGTCTCCCTGACAACCAAACTCCACCTTTTAGCTCTAGTTGGTCTTCCATGGGAGAGTTTCTTTGCCCTCATGCAGTCATAGCAGACCTCAAATATTATTGGTGTTGGAACCTGTCTCAGGACTTCCCCAGGAGCAGAAGTATTTTATGTTTTGTTTTTTTAAAACCTTTCCCTTGGCAGCACGACGTCTATACCTTTGCCCTGGTAGTGATAGCGTTTTCTGCTCTACCCCCAGAGGCTTCGGGCTTTGTTTCCCAGAAGAGAGTTGCAACAGGGCTTCATGCTTTTCTCCCAGCATGTTCCCTTTTCCAAGCCTGTAACCCCAAGGAAAGCGCTTGGCCATCTCCTGCTCTGCCCACAGTGTTTCTCATGAACAGGAGATTGAGGTCATGGAGAAGAGCCTGTGAGTGGGTGCGGACTCCCTATGTCTGGAGCTCCTAGGGGTTTTATACTCTTACCCCTGTTCACATGTGATGTTTACCAAGCCATTAAAAATTATAGCTGAGCCCAGCTGGTGTGGCTCAGTGGATTGAGCATCGTCTCACGGACTAAGGGATCCTAGTTCAATTTCTGGTCATGGCACATGCCCAGGGTATGGGCTCAGTCCCCAGTAGGGCACGTGTAGGAGGCAGCCAATTGATGTTTCTCTCTCACATAAATGTTTCTAGCGCTCTCTCTCTCTCTCTCTCTCAAAAACTCAATAAAAACATATTTAAAAATAACTAACTAAATAAATAAATAAGTAAATAAAAATTATAGCTGAATGCTTCTTACCTGATTACATAGCACCCAACATCTCTTCCTTCTTTCTGTAGTCTGCCAATGTGAGCAGGTGCTTATTTCTCATCTCCCCCGGGAGGAGCCTGAGATGCAGTGGATTTGATACTACTTGGTTGACTGGTGATTTCAGTTCTTGGATGTGTTCAGCAAAGTTTGATTTTTTTTTTTTTTAAGTTTACATGGGTTTTTTATATTAGAGTAAAAGCAACACTATTTCCAGCTTTCTGTATCCAAGGGGCAATAGAACTCCTGACATACCTCAATTTGGCAATACTTTATTCATTCTCAATTGTATGTTTTCCAGCTTATTGAACATCTCTTTCAACTTGAAGTCTGTTCTTTTATAAATTACAGGTTTTATTTTGCATGCAAATATTTTCTTGAGGACATAAAGCACATCTGTTCAACAATGGTCATACTTGTCATGATCCTAAGAAGATAATTTTCTGAAGGAAAAGGAGAGCTTTAATGTAAATACAGGTCTTTGTTTTAAGTATTTTCCTTTGTGACCTTAGTAGAAGTAGTTACAGTCTAAGCCAGGTTTTCTCAAATATTGGCATATATCAGAATTACCTGGAAGATTTGTTCAAACACTCACTTTTGCCACTCCAAGTTTCTAAATAATAGATAATGTTGATTCAACTATTTTTCCCCATTAATCCTGTTTATCTGAAACATGACTCTAGCCCTGGCCGGTTTGGCTCAGCGGTTAGAGCATCAGCCTGCGGTCCCGAGAGACCCGGGTTCGGTTCCCGCTAAGGGCATGTACCTTGGTTGCAGTTTGTCCCCGGCCCTGGTTGGTCGTGCGGGTGGCAGCCACTCGATGTGTCCCTTTCACATCGATGTTTCTCTCTCTCTCTCTCCCTCCTACTCTATCTGAACAAAAAGAAAAAATAAAAATAAAAATAAAACATGACTCTAAATATCACTCCAGGAATCAGGATCAGTCCCAGGCAGTTTAGGTGATTTGTCCCGTTTATAAAGCTAGTAGGCCTATAAATACCTTCAAGCGCAGGCATTCTGTCTCTACATTTAATCTATTTTTGATAATTCTGCATTGAGAAGAAAGAGATCCATAATTACTGTGCATGTGCACATATATAATAATTTAAATAGAAAACAATCATGTTAATAAGACAAACTTACAATGATTGACTAAAACAAATACACACGAGAAACTGGAGGGATTAGG